AAGACATTCGGAATTACAATTTTTTACGAGCTTTTACATCACCAGTGTAAGCTTTAAAACGAGTATTGATCTGAATACGTCGTTGACGGACTTCATTTTGAAGTTTTCGTAGCTAGAAATAGCGAGATTTTCGAAAAGAATGGACACACATGGACATCTTACCTCGTGAAGATCTAATTCCGCTTGATGTTTATCTTCCGAAGCATTGCCTGGTGCCCGATTACGGCGTTCCCGTATTTTACCAGTTATTTCGCGAATACGAGCCTGAAGTTGTCGATCGCGTGTACGTCTGAACGCAGAATGTGTTTAGTTCGAGGAAGATCAACCAGTGAAAACTCACCGATTTTCTTCTTCTTGCATCGCACTTTCAGGTGAACGATGCCGTCGACTTTCATATTTCACAGCTCTCTCAACCATTTCTTGCTGATCTTTATTCATCACTTGAATATAATTTGGATCAATCCCGAAGGGAGCTTGTACAACAGCTTCGGGATAATCTATTAGAATAACAAACGAGGATGAATATTCAATAGAATTGTCAATTACCTCTGCCTTTCACCAATCGCTTACGACGTAATTGTTGCTGACTAGAACGGTAATCTTCCTTCCATTCATCTAGATACTCTTTGCTTTTAACTTTTTCTAATTCTTCATTAATTTTGATATTACGATGCTTGAAGAGAAAACAAGATCATTGGTCCTCGTGTTGTTGTTTTTTCTAGACTGGGAACATACTTTCAAACGTCGTAGTCGTTGTTCTTCCAGTGCTCGAGCTGCATAGACATCTCCCACTGGATCAGCAGATACTGTTTTCGTTACTTGATTGTTTTGTTTTGGAATTATCTTTGTTTTTCTAGAAAAAGGAAAAATTTTTTCATAAAGATATAGTTTTCTTCTTCTCTCCACTAAAGAAAACAACACTTGAGAAATCTATACAAGTATCGCTCATTCTATATAGAAGAATGTCATCTTAATTAAATCGTTAGATGACCGATGATTAGAGATACTATTATAGATATTGAACAAATCGAACGTTAGATCTATGAATTTCTCAAATCCGAGTGCAGATAAGAACCTTGCTTTTCGCCGTTGATTATCTTTTCCATCATCATCATCGGATGCCCAAACGTCGGGAACGATGTCGACTTGTTGTTGTTCTTCGTGATCGTTTTCATCTTCGGAATCGAGTGTTTCTTGTCGAACATATTCATCACGTAAATACTGTTGAATTGCTTTAATACCCTGTTTAACAATATCCGCTGGCGGATATTCTAATGGATTACCATCAAGGTTGAGAGTTGACAAATGTTTTACTTTACCTGAAGAAAACGAACAAGTTACAGAACGACGAGAAACAAAAGCAATCTGACCTAGTTCAATAGGTAATTCACGTATGAAGTTCCCTCCGATTAACAAATATCTCAAGGATGGATGCTTAGCGAGACCATTTGAAGGAATGTGAGTTAATTGATTGTTTCGCAGATCGATCCATTTCAAGTTTGGCAAGCAGAGAAATAAATCATCGGGCAGTTCTGTCAATTGATTACCTTCTAAATATAAATACTACAACGAAATGGTGTACGATGGAGAGTTTGACATGAACTTACATCTAACGAAGGATATTCGAGTAAGACAACAGGAAATTGAGCAATGTTTCTTTTGGATAGATCAAGACAGTTACAATCCTGTTCTCGAGCTTTCGTTATGAATTCAGTTAATTCATCATCTTGTTTGTTCTCTTCAATTTGAAGACACTCATTAATCTGGTTATATAACTCAGGAGGTAAATCTTCGTGTGGTACTTCGTCGTTCAGATCAGCGGAAGATGTAGCAGATAAAACATCTTCGTCGTCAAATTCGAAAAGATCCGCTTGAGTTTCGATGTCATTTGTCATTTTTTTTCGATTAACACTCAGTAATAGTTTATTCATGTCTTACACCATGTTTGTCTTATTTCAGCCGTGTGTAACCCAGCAACAGTGATTTGATATAGAACAGACTCTAACGACATCTCTGAACTGTAGCACAATCATCTTTACGTGACCAGAAAAAAAATCGAAGTTATTCTTCGCATCGATTTATTTCAATATTAGGACTACTTTTAGAAAAAAATAAAATCTTGTCTTTTAAGCTTTACGTTCATTTTCAGCTGCAGGTTCGACTGCTGGTTTAGGGCGTACGACTGGTGGTAGCTTTATTCTAGGTAATTGTCGAAGAACCAGATGCGGTCGAGAATCCAGTGAACCGTTCGTTGTTTCGCTTGTATGATGCACGGGGTTGTAGGGATTGTATGGCATGATATTACTGATGGATTTTGAGAAAATACCATGTATACTTGAATGACGAGGAGATAGATAATCGATAGGAAGCGCTCTAAAAGCACAGGGTATGCGTAAAAGAACAAGTATAGTTTCTAAAATTATATACTTGTAAACGTCAGCTGTTGTGGTCAGGTAGGGATTGTCAGTTAGATCGTCATTAGGTATAGGATTGGTTCGAATCCAACGGGGATTTCTTGTTCTTTGATAGATAAGATATATAAATAAAACTACGAGTGACAACTTACAAAAAACTGCTTGAATATTTGGGTTGCTCAGCCCGAAGAGCCGTATTCGAAGTTTGTGACTTATACTTTCCAAAAGATTCAGTGTACGTGGAGATTGGTTTTGCAAGCGATGATGAAGGTGTAATATTATCGATAGGTTTCCGATAATATTCAAGATTCCGTGGTTGCGTACGATCCCAATTAATTATATCAAGTGAACGTTTGTCGTAAAGAGATGAACAACTATGAGATTTGAAGAATGGATCACTGGTATAAGCTTCGTATGTTGATGTCGTCGGATCTGAGAATTATAGAGCGAGAGAAAATTAATTTTCAAAGTCTTGTACGCATTTTACTTTGCCCGAATTGATTGTCTGTGGGTTGTTGATAGTTTGTACCAGATGAACTCTGATATAGTCCGTGTATCGTCGATGATCCATACTGGCTACCGAACTCAGAGCTTACATTGGATAGAAATGATGCACAATTTTGATCAGAAAAATAGTTTTGAGACTCAGTCTGATATTCATTGGAGTGTAAAACACCTGAACAAAAACAATTCAGAAAGAAATTGATCGCTGTGAGAAAGATAATGATGGTTACCACTCGGAGCTACACTATAATGAACTGTGCTGCTAGTAACAGATGGATGCTCGCGTTGATACAATCTTCCATTGATTTGCTCATGCACGAGATTTTCAAAAGGTCTTGCTGTCTTATCACCGGTTTCTGAAGCATCCAAATAAAGACTTGTATGAAAATTAGGAAGTCGTTCTAAATGATAGGGATAGCTGTCTTGCTTTTTACGGTCAATACTCGGTAGTTTATTGACACGAGAAATTGATTTCGAGGTCAAGTTCTTTGGATGGCGTGCTTGAGTTGTAATAAGCTGAGCCATAATTAGTCGTCGGAATAGCGCAAAAACACTTTTACCATTTCTATGTTTTAATACTTGGCAACAATGCTTATTTGATCCGATTTAGTCGATTAAATGTCGCTAGTAAATTACTAAATTTCAGAGACCTCTTTAGAGAAAACACGATTAAAAAGAACAGAAATGTTTTTGTCAACGAGATGCCATTTGAAGTTTCACTTAACTACGCAAAACAAACGAATACATCGAGTTTAGCAATGCATCCAAGGGATCCGTGGCACATGATTTGAATATGTTTCTTCACACATAAAAGCAACATTCTTCATTTTTATTATTATTAAAATCATTCTCTATACAAATAGAAAAAAGAAAACAGAAACAACGACTAGGAAATATAGACACACTTAATTCGACAATAACAACAACATGATAACTATCTATACAATACTAGCGCGTGTCTGATAATCAGAAGTCATGTTGTACCATCCTCGATTATTCGTCGATGATGCAGGAGAGACAATGTGATTTTTGTCGCTGTTCGATGTCGATGATTTCGTAAGCATTTCATCGATTAAGATGATGCCATTAAGTAAAGGTGGTGGTTGTGGTAATTTGGTCTGATGATCTTTTGCCGATTGATTAAGAATAGTTTGTAATGTTGGAAAACCATTCGATTCCGTTCGAGATAGTTCGGGCAGGAGAGATGAGTTGTGATTCGATATTACGCTTTCACGTGTCGTCTGTTTTGGCAATGTACTAAATGTAGATGTTTGTTTTTGTAATAGATCAGTGTAAGTATCTTGAATTGGAATCACCGATGGTGGTTGAAAGCTAACATTTTTTGCTGATTTTCGTGTGAGAGTGGTCAATGCCGAAACAGTCGATGATGTCGATTGCTGTTGATGATGGTTATGTGAACGATCCAGATCAGATGTTGATGATGACGACACCCCATTATATGGACAAGAGAGAAGTGATGAAGAAAACTCGCCATCCGTCGTTGAAGGACTATTCCCAGATAGCGCTTGAGAATTCTAAAGTACAAGACATTTTCTTTGACGTGCTCAATGCTAGATTGAAGAATGTTTTCGGTCGAAATGAATCCGAGAAGGTTACCCGGCGCCACATGGCTTAATAGAACGAAACGTATGCGGTCAGTTGAGCAAAAAAACAATCATCTCTCTTTATATCTTAGGTAAAGGTCAACACTCTTCTTGTTGATATACATACTCCACAGACAAAAGAGAAAAAGTCATGACACTCTCAAGATATAAACATTCATGCATAACTTACTTTTCTTTGTTTAGCAATAACAGTATAATTATTACTATGAATCGATGGAAGAATAACCGTGCTCGATGTTTTCATTCGCGGACTATTTTGTTTAGATTTTTCTTCATCATTAACTATTAATTGACTTCCATACAATCGTTTTCGTGCACTTTTTCTCATACATATATAATATGTAGTGATAAAACTAAGCAAGCAGACGGTAATACCAGCGATGATAATGATGAATAAGACTGGAAATCTTCGAAATGTTTTACTCATATTATTGAATAAATAAAATCCAAGAGGATTATGTTCATTGATGATAATATGTAACAATTTCTTCGTTTCAAATTGATAATTTTTCGCTAGAAGTTCAACATTGTAACTACCGGGTGAGGTGGAAGAATTTCTTAGCCATAAAGAATTGTTTGAACCGATATAAAACAGATCGTTGTTAATGATCGATAGTTTCACGTGTGAATTATTGCCAAGATCATTGTCGTGAACGATGATATCAGTTATGAACTGAGACGATGGATTTTGATGATCAATACGCTGAAAATGTTCGTCAAAAAGAATATGACGAATCTCATCTGTGTTAGGCCAAACGAAGACCGGTGGATTATCGTTGACATCTCTGCAATGGAAAGAACATCCTTGTTGATCAACTAAAAGTATGTGACTTACTGTATTTTTATGATGACATTCGTCGATCCAATTGTGGAGTTATCCGTTGCAATGACTGTTAATTTATATTCATCTTGTAGCTCTCGATCGAAAATCATCTGTGTCCAAATTTTGCCATTTTGATCGATGATAAACAAATCTTCATGATTACCTAATGAATAAGTAATCTTATCGCCATAATCTCTATCGAATGCTTTGACTTGTCCAATAAACTTCACGGTCTCATTTTCTCTTATAGAAAATTCGTAATGATCGTGTTCGAACTGAGGTGAATACTCATTGATGTTGATTATATTAATTCGAACAGTAACAAACGATTCTAACGATGGATGTCCATGATCATTGGCACGCACTTGAAATTGATATTCACGTTTAGTCTCATAATCAAACGATGTATTCGTTGTCAGAATTCCATCAGTTGGCGTGATGAAGAACAATGGCGATGGCGGAACGATCGAATATGTAATCTGTCCATTGATACCGTGATCAAAATCATAGGCAGTGACATGACCGATCGTTGTCGGTACGCGATTATTTTCGACTAGTTCGAATGTGTAATTCGATTTGAATTCAGGTTTTTGATCGTTGATATCAGTAATGTTCAGTTCGAATGTCATCGAACGACGTAAACTTGGTTGACCGAAGTCACGTGCGCGTAGTTCAACTTGATAGAATGGAGTTGTCTCACGATCGAACTGACGGAAAGATTTCACTGCATAGTAATTCGGTCGAATTGTTTCCAGATAGAACAATCGATGTGGTTCGATTGTTAATTGCGACTATAGAAAATGTACTTTTCGATATGTTTCAGTAGGAGAAAAACACACTTACGCGACCATATTCACCCGAATCTTGATCATCGACGGTCACAAATGCGATGGGCAGATTAATATCAAATGATTCCTTTACATAAGCCATATTTCCATTGTGATTATGTTCCAAGAGAGGATTGAATTTCATTTGTATTGACGGAGCATGATCATTCTGGTCAAGTACGTAAACATAGACGATGCATGTATCACTTAGCGAACTAATTCCGTTATCAATGACTTCAATTTTAAGTTGATAAGATTTATGTAATTCATAGTCGAGTGCTTGATTCAATGTTAGAATGCCCGTGGTTTTGTCCAAACGAAACAAGCCTTGATAATCGTTTTCTAATGTGTAAGTCAACTCAGCGTTCATTGCCGTGTCTTGGTCAACTGCTTGAAGTCTAAGTAGATACTCCGGAATTGTATTTTCAGCGACACTGATATTGTACACCGAAGATTCAAAGAGCGGAGGAGAATCATTGATATCACTAGCAAGAGAAGAGAAAAAAAATAGCTGAGAACTTTGCATTAAAAAAAAATTACGTGATTTCGATTGTTAAAGTTTGTGTGCCGATGTTAGCTGGATGACCTCGGTCGACTGCGATTAGTTTCAGTAGATACTTTTCGATCTTTTCTCGATCTAACCGCTCCTTAACAATCAATTCTAATTCACGACTTTGATTATCATAAACAATCGAAAATTGATATTGATCATTTCCATCGATTGTTTCTAAACGATAATGATCAATACCATATGGAGGCGAATCTAAATCAATGGCTGTTTCAAGTGGAATTCGATGACCGATTGGAACGTTTTCCGCCATAAATATTTTCGCTTCCGTTTGAGAGAACTTCGGAATCATATCGTTGATATCATGGCATGAAATTGGTTGAGAGAGAATATAATTAAATGGCGTCTGATTCAGATTAACGGTCAATGTCAATGTAAAATTGCATTGAAGAACATTTCCACCGATACACAAACGTTTTCGAACGTAATCTTCTCGGTCGAGTCGAGATTTCAATCGAATATATCCATTGAGATATTCGAATGGTTGACTTGGTTGACTGTGAAGTAATGCAGCTTGATACGTGTAGACATCCAGTGTTTGGAAGATTGGACGAAGGTCTACGACGACGGTTGATAATGGACTTTCTTCAAAGATGGATACGGGTGAGAGAATTTGCGATACAATTGAGTGAGAAGAAGAGATAAAGAAATTGATCACGAGAAACAAGCTGAGTAACATGTTCAGAATCAATTGAATACAAGAAACGAGCAAACATACGTCTATCTATAACGGAAAGAGGAAGAGGGAGAAGAATGAGAGAAAAGAAAAGGAAAAGGAAAGAGAGGAAACAGCACAAATCAAAGGTATTACGAGTCCAAAAGTGCTCTTTTCGATTTGGGCATTTTTCTCTGCAGTTATTGTTTATCGCTAGTATTTCAAATGTAATAGTCTTGAAACTAGTACACATTTTTCCTCGTCGATGTCGCTCATCATCTGCTTGCTGGTAATCATGATGAATACGACAAGTGAGCGTCTGTCTCGCTTGTAATACAGTTCAAGGTTTTGCATAGCAATACAGGAAATGATTTTCTACTAGGCGGAATGCTTGCTCTTTGTATTTCGGTGTTTTATGCATGACCGACGCGGACTTGCGTCGTTCCTTTAAGTGATTGAATCAATTCTATTTGTTTGTTTCACTCTGAACATGCGAAGGAGAGAGACATGGAAATTTTCTTTCTTTTTTTTGTGTTTCAACATGATCTGTTTATTTCTTGCAACATCGATCGTCTGTTTATCTCTTTCCATTACAGATGGACATGAAAATGAAGCCATATGTAATGAATTCCTCTTTTCTATAGGGCAATAATCATCTCTCTTTCTCTCTTTGAACAACATTAGAGATTTATGGTTGAGAATATATGTCCATACGTTAGGTGTTGGATAGTAAATTGAATAAGTCATTTCTTTCAACTTGTGTAATGATTATTGATAGATGAGAGTAGTCACATATGGGCTAAACATAGTCAAAATAAACGAATAACGATTAAGCTCTAATTGATAGGATGTCATCAGGATACATAATCATCCTAGTGAACATGGAATGAGTCTCCGTCTTCGATATTGCATGTCTACTTATGCTGATGATGAAATTGGCACATGCAATAGAACATCGCCGGCTAATGATAGACGTAGTTCGAACTTATTTTGATTTATCTTGGCCAAGGTAAAATAACAAAACCGAAAAGATTAACTCAAATAGTAGGCATTGCATGTTCGCTGAAAGCAGCGAAGAATTTGGAAAAGAAAACTCGAATAACTACAGGAATCAATCAAGCTAAAAATTAATCTTACATAAGATAAGAGAGAAACGATGATCAATGGATGTACTTGTAACAGCAGTATCTCTTCCCACCATAAGATTTTCCTCTTTAATATATATGTATATGAGATTGTTTCTTTTTTTCTCGCACGCGTCTTTTGTTCTGGTCAAATTGACTCGTTAATCGATATGTTGGGAAAAAAATGCTAATCAAATTTCTTTTCTTTCTCTTTATGCGAAAAGAGAGACCTAGTAAATGTAAAATCAGTTACATTGATTCGAAATCACCGATGTTTGATTACGTAATCGATATCCTAACGTGTGCACAAATGTCAATTGTACATTAAAAAACACAGCACGTATGAACGTTTGTCAATATTCTAGCCTTGTAATGAGTAAGCATGTGGTGTTAGTAGCTAGATGAACAAGTCATCGAATGGGTATTTTTCTACTTTACAAAAGTAATAAGAAAAGTTCAGCGTGGCCACTTAATGCTCAAAATTAATGTTTCTATCTCTGTCAAGCGCTTGCAATCAGGTCAAAAAGGAGAACGAGTCATGACGATCAATGATCAATTGTCGTGTGTAGAAAAAAGGCGGGCAGGTGACTGGTGTATAAGATGTCAACGTATGTAATCAAAAATGGACATTTCTTCTTTTCAAGGATGGACGATCTAATGGTGTTGATGGGACTCTCGGGAATGCATCTGTTTGAATGAAATAAAATGCATAGAGAAATGTCAATCTCGGTACAGATGTTAGGAAATATTCGCTGTATATGATGACCATACCTGAAATCATATGTGTTGGGTGCGAAGGAAAACAACATGTTTTTTATTATATTTTATATTGATTCTTATCTTTCTAATGAATCTTTGAACAAAACTATGCTTCATTGGTGAGTGAGAGAAAGAGAGAGAGAGAAAGAGTAAAGGTGAAAAGCATTTTCTCGGTATTACAGAGTTACGCTTGTTTATTTTTGATGAACATATTGAATCATTCGCTCATGAGAAAAAATTTCAGCTGTTATCTTCTATGTTGATGACACGATGATTTAGATTATCAGAAAAGCAGAAGAGTCTCTCTCTCTCTCTCATCACGTCGAGAACGTTCGCGGACACACCCGCATTGCAGTTATTCATGCATACATCGGTAACTAGTGTAAAATTTGCTCAATATATATGACGATGTCCCATTCTTATTTTCGATTATTTTATGAGAAAAAAGGTGCATTGCATTCCGTCATCACGAGAATTAATGACGTTCGTCAACGATCACATGGCTTGACGATAGTTGTTTTTTGTCATCTATACTCGATGATTCTTGAATAGATAATCCTGTCAAAATTGATTTCGAAACCTTGTGTGAATGCTAAGCTAAACAAATAAACAGACGGTGAGGTTTTTCTTTCGCTCTCAATGCACTTTGGTTGTCAAAATCATTGAATTAATAAGATCGACGTAGAAAGCACAGAATCGAAATAATTACGAATACGTAATAAATACGACGCTGATGATGATGATGCAAACACCGGCGACAATATTATTACGTTTGTTTTCATCGAATTACATTTTCTCTTAAGTCTCCTTTCGATTCACTAACTTTGATTTCTATAGAAATCAAGCAGACTGTAATATCTCAACATTTACGATCACCATTCAGACTGTTTGAAAAGAATATTCAATTCAGGTTTTTAATGTCCCTATCAAGACAAGATGCTTTTATTTCAAAAGAAAGGTCACGATTTCTTCGAGATATGAAATCTGACTTGATACGATCTTTTACTCTCTCACGTTTTTATAACATAGATGTAAAAGTAAAGCTATTCTTGAAACGAACCGTTGATCGTCGATGGATTGTTTACACTCGAACGACAAGGACATTGGTCCAATTAAACAATTTCCCATTATTTCGAAGATATTTTCGAGCAATTATTCAATCCTATAGCCTCGTCGTTGTTTTTCAATGATTGTGTTATTTGTCCTTGGATATGTCTTCTTATACTATTTGAATATCGATCACATTGTCAGAAACAATTCCAATCGATCAGTCCACGGATGAAAAGAAAAACTTTTCCAGCTGAGAAAATGTTTTCCTTTTGTCTTCTATGCCTAGATATGAACCTTTTTTTTTCAAGTAATTAACTGTATCGAACTCCCACATGTCAGGGCCAAGAAATGAGGTAAAGGAAAAAAAAACAGACCAAGGTAATGACATCGAAAAATATACTTTTTCTTTTCTCTTCGAACAAGTTATGCATGGTTAAAGATTCGCTTCGATGATTTTCTTTTCGCGACATATTTAACATATAAAAATCAAAAAAGAAGTGTCACTACTTTTACAAAATCATAATTTTATTGAGAGAAAAAAAAAAGAAAACGATGAATCAACAAACACATAAGCCTCGTATTATCATCATGCGGCATTCGGAACGCTTAGATTTTGTTTTGAAAAATAATAATTGGCCTCAAGAAGTTTTCATCAATGGAGTTTACTCGCCGAACGTTACACAAATGCCAACTGTCCTACCGATTCGTGCCAATCCGCACGAATATTCTCTCGATACGCCTTTATCACGGCATGGTAAAGCTCATGCTTATCATACAGGTGAATNTCAGCTGGCTTCTACGTCGATCTTAGTTATCAACCTGTCCTATCGCCTGTTAACAATACAGTCATCGTGCGTGAAACACGTTTAGCTTACTACAGACGAATGTATGCTGTATTAAAGAGAATTACAAGAAAATTAATTAGTCAAAATACGAAGTTAAGTGCATTGGCAACACCACCAACAGTTCTTATTGTCACACATCGACCATGTGTGACACTACTAGCGGCTATGTTAAATCTTGACGCTGTCGATGATAAATTAGCATACTTGAGTGAAATGGAAAATAATAAACGTGGTGAAGTTAACTTTCTTTCAATGATTATAGCTGAATATGATGCAGCAACAGGCACCTGGATGTTCCTTTCGGACTTTCCTCAACTACCAACAGCACCTTTATTAACAGCGAGTACTCTGATGAATTCTTTGAAAATTTCTGATTAAATAGAATTGTATATCAATGAGTTTTTTTTTCTCACTTTTCTTCTTTGATTTTTTCATAAATAAATAGAAGAAGAAAGAAGAATGAGATGTTTGTTCTCTTATTGGTTGCTTGAGTTCTTAGAGGCTGCATAAGATTAATCATGGCTATGTATAAGACAGTGATGTCGCTCTGTTCATTTCTTTTTTCCTGTTCTTTTTGACTTTAATAAACATTCGTTTGTTCCCGCATCGTTCATGTATGTTCCGGTTTCTTTTTTTTCCTAATAGAACTCATTCAAATCGAGATTCCTTCTCTGTTACTTATCTTTTGAAAGATCAATGTGCATAGTTCATCCACCCGGCAATACTCTCTGTCGAAATCCTTCACCGATACTATTCAATTAGTCATTTTTTGCTGAAAAAAAAGGTGAGCAATCGTGTAATTGCTTTTGGTAACTTTCGTTTTTCTTTTTTTCGATAAGAAAAACAAAATAACATGAAAATGCGACTTGACGTTGTTTTGGTAGGGATTCTTGTTAAACTTGTCTGTTTATTTTCCCTTTGGATTTCGGCCAAGACAAAAAAAAAAAGAAACACATCGATGAATATCTATACTGTTCAATTAGAAGCCTGCTCGATGTCGCCGTCGTTCGTTCTCTTTCTTTTCTCTCGGCTAGACAACAAATTGTATTTCTCTTTCGCTATCCCATTCTTTTCTTGGNCGTGTCGATCTTGCACTTCACGAACCAACCAAACGAAATTTACCTTTACAACCTGCGGAATTCTTCTCCTCAGCTGGCTTCTACGTCGATCTGAGTTATCAACCTGTCCTATCGCCTGTTAACAATACAGTCATCGTGCGTGAAACACGTTTAGCTTACTACAGACGAATGTATGCTGTATTAAAGAGAATTACAAGAAAATTAATTAGTCAAAATACGAAATTAAGCGCATTGGCAACACCACCAACAGTTCTTATTGTCACACATCGTCCATGTGTGACACTACTAGCGGCTATGTTAAATCTTGACGCTGTCGATGATAAATTAGCATATCTGAGTGAAATGGAAAATAACAAACGTGGTGAAGTTAACTTTCTTTCAATGATTATAGCTGAATATGATGCAGCAACAGGCACTTGGATGTTCCTTTCGGACTTTCCTCAACTACCAACAGCACCTTTATTAACAGCGAGTACTTTGATGAATTCTTTGAAAATATCTGATTAAATAGAATTGTATATCAATAGATTTTTTTTTCTCACTTTTCTTCTTTGATTTTTTCATAAATAAATAAAAGAAGAAAGAAGAATGAGATGTTTGTCCTCTTATTGGTTGCTTGATTTCTTAGAGGCTGAATAAAATTAATCATGGCTATGTATAAGACAACGATGTCGCTCTTTTCATTTCTTTTTTCCTGTTCTTTTTGACTTTAATAAACATTCGTTTGTTCCTTCATCGTTCATGTATGTTCCGGTTTCTTTTTTTTCCTAATAGAACTCATTCAAATCGAGATTCCTTCTCTATTACTTATCTTTTGAAAGATCAGTGTGCATAGTTCATCCACTCGGCAATACTCTCTGTCAAAATCCTTCACCGATACTATTCAATTAGTCATTTTTTGCAAGGAAAAAGGTGAGCAATCGTGTAATTGCTTTTGATAACTTTCGTTTTTCTTTTTTTCGATAAGAAAAACAAAATAACATGAAAATGCGACTTGACGTTGTTTTGGTAGGGATTCTGGTTAAACTTGTCTGTTTATTTTCCCTTTGGATTTCGGCCAAGACAAGAAAAAAAAAAGAAACACATAGATGAATATCTATACTGTTCAATTAGAAGCCTGCTCGATGTCGCCGTCGTTCGTTCTCTTTCTTTTCTCTCGGCTAGACAACAAATTGTATTTCTCTTTCGCTATCCCATTCTTTTCTTGGTCACTGTCCATGGTCGGTCATTCGGTATGTACGACTCAACAGCATATGAATGTGAGTAAGAGAGAGAGCGAGAAGAAAGTTTCGAGTATAATGAGTATGCGGTCGGACGCACGCATTTGGAAGCTACTGCTATTGCTACTATCGAGTGTTAGCATATTTTTCTGGTTGTATTATGCGCGCATGAAAAAAATGCGTTAAATGTGTAAAACGAAAGTATTTGAATCAATAAATGCGATTGAAATATGCAGAGATTAAATGAAACGTAGTGGTAAGCGATCTCTTTTGTTTCGTTGCTGATGCAGTTGTTCATTCAAGGTTTTCTTTTTCTGGTTGCTTCCAAATGCACATAAAATAGTAGACTTGTCACATTCTCTTTCCGGTTCTCTCTCTCTCTCTATTTCTCTTTCGCGTGCAGTCAAGTGTGTGTGAGATGGACTCAATTCAAGAGAGAAAAAGAACAAGTCTATTTACCGAATACGAGAAAAATCGTGCATTCGCGTTGGCTCCCATATGCATTATATCTTAGAGAATACGATAGCAGAAAAAAAACTATTACATACNATAGCTAGACATCAACTAAATCAAAAATCTATTTCTCATAAGGAAGGCCAACAACTTGTTCCTTTCTTCTTTCGCCTGCTCGTTTCTTTCTTTCCCTCTATTCTGTTTTGTATTCGCTCGGTTGCATATGCAAACGAGCCGTAACTTCTGGAGTATTGGTGTCAAACTCTTACATAAGGGATATTTCAACAAGTGTCACCTGCCATTTGTTACTTGGTAAAGAGATTTCTTTCTTTTTTTCTCGCTCTCACTCGCTCTTCTTTTCTCTTTTCTTTGCTCTTTCGTCTTTCGAAAAGCAAACATCTATCAATTATTTGACATTTACTCTATCTGATCTAATCGAGTAACCTTTTATCTTTTGTTTTAGTCTTTTCTTTTACTTAACATCGAACATAGATCTTGTTTCCATTCGACATGCCCGGCGAAACATTGACGGACGATCCACAACGTGAACGTCTTGTCTATACGTACACATACACATCAGACGGTGATAATGGTCAAGCACCACAATCAAATACAGTTAAAGTAACAACAACAGTTGAAGAAGAAACGACACCAGACGGAACAAAAGTTGTACGTAAGAAAGAAGAATCTCAACAAGTATCCAAAGTAACAAAAATACAAAAAATCACACGTGTACATCGACATCTAGTCGATCCCATTACTGGCGAGCTTATTCGACAAGATGATCCGAGATATCAAGTATTAATAGCTGAATATGGCGAACCAACACCCACTACATGGTCAGATGAACATGTCGTCTATGAAGGTACTTCACTGCCAGCAAATGGAATAGTTACGAGACATGAAACAAATAATAACTTCTCACCAAACTCATCCTTTTCTCAACAGAAGTAAGTAGTAAACGTAACGGAAAATTCGAGTTGAATAAAATCGATCCTATTAGAACACCTTACCGAACGACTGAAGGACAATCGCCTTCGTCTGTACGCTCGTCTCAACAATCAGCAACAACGACACATCAACATCAACATACACATTATGAACAACAGCCTAATCGATTTGACCGTAGCACATATGCGTCTGGTGGTGATGTAAGTGAAGCTGGATTAACAATAAGAAATGGAGCTCGACATGATAATCGAAGCACTTATTCAAATGGACGACCATCGGGACGAATACCGCCACAACAGCATACGAACGGAGGAGGACGAAATGGTTATAGTCATGAAGTCCTTGAGCAGCGTTATAGCAGTGCGCGTTATAACGAGCCAGAAAATAATAAAAGTATGTTGTTTATTCAGTATTTACGTTTAATTTGCATATTTTATTATTATCATAGTAAATAGTGACGAGAAAATTATTGATTATGATCCAAATGATCCAAATTTAGTTGATGAGCCGTATCTCGATGTCGAGAATCCTTACGAAGGCCTTGGTCCAGGCCGACCAGATAGTATCAGTCGAGCACTTATGTCAACAGCTGGAAGACAATCGCCTGATAGCATCGGACAAGGTAAAAAGACTGAGAAACAGATCTACTCATATATCTATCTTTGCTTTTGGGCACAAATTGCTTGTTTTGTGTATGTGTATCATTTTTGAAAAAATGCTCTCCTATAACTGCTTATGTTTGTGTGCGTGTATATATATATCTGTTTATATTTTTCCCGCTAATATTATTTTGCAGCACCTCCCGGCTATGGTGAAGATTACGGTACATTGAGTCGTATGTATACATCATATGGTATACATGAAGATGAGTATCATCGTGGTCGACGATCGCCTTCAATCGATACAGAATTTCGAGGTATGATATTTATTTTGGTACTCCTTGCCTTTGCTTTACCTTGCTTTGCTTGGTGTTTGCTTTGTTTAAAATCTTATTCGTATTTCGTTCACTTCAATTTATGATCTAGAACAACGTTGGCGTGATCCTGATCTGCAAGAAGTAATCGAATATCTTAGTCACACAAGTGATGTCATTAAAGAGAATGCAGCGGCGTATTTGCAACATTTATGTTATAACGATGACAATATCAAATCAAAAACCAGATCTCTCAATGGAATTGCTTATCTAGTTGCATTACTTCAACATGAGAAACCCGAAATTCAGAAGAACGCTTGCGGTGCTTTGAGAAATTTATGTTATGGAAAGCGAAATGATGAAAATAAGGTTCGTTTACCAGCAAGAAAGTCTCTATCATATGGACTATGATGACTTGCGGTTTTTTTTAGATTGAATTAAAGAATCGAAATGGTATACCTGCATTGATTCATCTTCTCCGTCGAACGCCCTATGAAGATGTTCGAGAATCAGTGACAGCCGTTCTTTGGAATGCCTCCTCATCACCTCAATTGAAAGGACAAATCCTTGATGAAGGACTCAATGTGCTTGTAAAAAACATTATTATTCCCTTTTCTGGTTGGGATCCGGATATTAACCGTCGTTTGAATCCACAGGGAAAATTTCCAGCTGTTTTCAAAAATGCAACAGGAATACTCCGGTAAGTCAATATTCTCTGCCGAGCGATCTAATACGATTAGCTATCTGTTAAATTAGTTCGATGAATCAATGACTATGCGCGTAGAAAAAATCGTCGTATTTACTCGAGGTTCATTTGATCGAAAATTTGACATGATGAATGATTGAGAGAGTATAAAGAAATTTTTGTTCAATAACACAATGTGCTCGACTGAGCATGTACCGAAACTGATTTTATTGATGATGACTAAATCAATTAACTCATGTGCTATAAGTATAGATGGATGTCTTCATCTACCAAACTAACGACGAATATTCAAATGAACTGTCTAATTCAATAACTAATGTCGAAGACATTTTGTGATCGAGTGAAGCATCTAGTCTAATGATATTACCGAAGTGTCTGTTATATCCGATTTATCCAATTAGAATCACTCTCTTGTATTAAACTTCTGCATAGGATCAACTAGTATTGATGTGTATTTTAAGTAAACTTTTTTTGTTAACTAGAAATTGTTCATCTGCTGAACATGATGGTCGTCGTAAGATGCGTGAATGCGAAGGTTTCATTCCATCTCTTCTGCATGCCGTGAATTCCAGTCTTCAGTCTCTAAATGAAATTAATAATAAATCGATTGAAAACTGTATGTGTATATTACGTAACCTATCGTACAAATTACAAGAAGTGGTTGATCCGGATTATGATCGTAATTATCCAGCTATGGCTGCAGCAGCATCGACTTGGAGTATGACACCATCACAATATAATGAACATGAAAAGACCAAAGTTGGTTGTATGGGTTCAAAACAGAAGAAAAGCAAACAAATTTATGAACAAACGGGAACTTATAATAATAATACTATTCATGCTATCATGGCGCCACGCGAAGGTCGACCTGTTGAAATGCTTTGGCAGCCAGATGTTGTAGGAACTTATGTGCATCTCTTACGACACAGTAGTAATCCTGATACACTCGAAGCAACAGCTGGGTGTATTCAAAATTTAAGTATGTATTGGCAATGCTGAGAGTTTCTGATGTTCATATCTGATGTGTTTCTTTTAGCTGCTTGTTATTGGAAACCGTCAGTAGATATACGTGCTGAAGTTCGAAAAGCTCGTGGTCTATCAGAATTAGTCGATTTATTACGCGTTGACGAATGTGATGGTGTTGTGAATGCATCGGCAATTGCTTTGAGAAACTTAGCGATTGATCAAAAGAATCGTGATGTACTCGGTGGTTGGGCTATTAAAGAACTCGTCGCTGTCTTACCCGATCCATCCGAACATGGAA